ATTTCAGTCTGCACTTTTCAACCCAGAATTTCTATTTGGTTCTTTTAAAATAATTTCTATCTCATTACTGATATTCTCTCTTTAGTGAAACATCATGCTCTTACTTTCTTCTAATTCTTTAGATGTTTACTTTAGGGATTTGAACATTCTTGTAAAGGATGACTTGAAGTCCTCGTTCAGTAAATCCAATAATGGGCCTCTTCCTGGATGGTTTCTATGAATTCCTCCTTTCCTGCTCATGGGCTATACTTTCCTATGTCTCTTCATGATTCACAATTTTCTGATAAAAGCTGGATGTTCTAAATATAGTAATGTTCAGGCGCTGCTTTGCGCTCCCGGCCCCCACCGGCGGCCGCCCCCAGCCCCACATCCCAAGGCAAGTGAGAAGCGAGCCTCCTTGACAAGAGCAGCAGGTGAAGACCCACTGGTCAATCATACGGGATTTGGGACCTGCCCTCCCAAGAAAGGGATCCTCAGACTCGGTTATAAAATAATTAAGGACAAAAACAGCATCCTCCGCAGCTGGGGCCTGAGATGAGTTCAGAGTCCTTGTGGGAGCACATCATTCTCTCCGAGCAGGGGGCCCAGGAGGGTTGACGCCTGCTGCGGGAAGGAAGGCGGCAAAGAAACGGATGGGTGAGACAACGGAGGAGGCGATGGAGGAGCTGAAGGAAGAGAGAACCAAGTTGGAACCTAAGGCTCAGCAATTTTCTGAAAAAGCCTTCCTCTTACAGCTTTTGAGGACTCATGAAAATGCTTCTGAAAGACAGTGTGGTGAAATCAGAAACCAAAGGAATATGCTTCTCCAAACTTTTGATGCTACAAAGGAAAAAGTGACAGAAGAGGAAAAATTTATTAAGGAAATTACAGACTTCAATAATGAGTATGAAATAACGAAGTAAAGAGAACTTCTGATGAAAGAAAATCTCAAGATTGAAATATCTGACTTACAAAACCAGGCAAACATTTTGAAAATGGAAATGAAGTCAATGGAACATGAAAGTGGCCGGTTAAATGAATCCCAAAAACAAAAGAGTGAATTAATACAAGAATTATTTACTCTGCAGAGAAAACTTAGTTTTTGAAGATAAAAAGAATGAAGCCATTTGTACTACCAAAAACCTAGACAAGGGAAAAGTAAAAATCAATGAAAAGTCTCAAAATGATGCTGAATGCTTCAGGCTTAAAAAGATTAGAACTTTATAAGGAGATGACATGCAAAGTGGTTATGAAGCTCTCCAAAGAGAGAATTTTTGGAGTTGACATGACATTGGCACAGAAAGATCTTCAAGAAAACAACTAACTTCTTAAGAATTCATCAGCTGTCTGAGATTTGATCAAAGCATTTTAAAATAAACTCTTTGTGTTCTCAGTGATGGATATACGAATGATACCCATTACAACAGATTCTTCTGGAACATGTAAGGTCTAGAATGTTCAAAGTCATTGATATTTAGAATTGGTATATTAGCACTTAAGAAAAATAATTTTTTTGTCTAGTTACCTGCTGGAACGTTACGGGTTCTTGTGTGGTTTGATTTCATTTCTAAAGGAAGGATAGATGTTTTGTTCTCAGGCTTCTTCTAGCCCCCTGACCCTCAAGCCGATCTGTACTTTCTGATGTTATTCATTCTTTGTTGCAGCCCACCATGGGCCCAAGAAACACATGTAGGAACAAATGACCAGATTACTGATCCAGTTTTGTCAGTGCCATGCACACCGACGAAGATGCTCGCTTTCATTGTATTCCTTCCTTAATCATAAGATGTCTGTTGACAGAGGTCCTCTGAGGCCTATCATCTGCAAAAGCCATTTTTCTCCAGTTTTCATTAGATGTCGTCTGTAGAGTTAAGTCTGGGCACCTGCGGCCATTCTCTAGCAGTTGGTGCCTGCCAGTTTTCTTCCTAAGGCCGGTGTTGGTTCAAATGAAGTAACACTTGGGAAAGTACATAATCTCCTTATAGCCACGAGGATTCATTTTTGCTGTTGGCTTGAAACATTACAATTGAAAACAATGTACTTACATTCAGATTAAATTTGCTGTTGCCATCAAATTTCCAACTCCACATATCTTTCTCCTTTGAGCAATCCTGACTAGGAAGACAGACGTATTTTCACTAGTTTCTGAAAAACTGTATTGAAAGTAACTGGTCGTCAAGGCCTTAAACTGGGGTAGGTGAGGGAAGGAAAACAAATCCTACTTGGAGATATATGTCAAAGTACTGAGTCCAAGTGTTAGACTCATGTTTTCTTTTGTGGTTGTAGCCGAATTAGCCTAATCAAATATGAGATGTTTGCCTATGTCTTATATCTACTGATGTTCAGGTAGTCTAGTTTCAGAGAAAGTCCTCTATTGGCATAGCTTTTTGTATGTGTTGTTTTACACCCTTATTTTTTTTTTAATTACATGTTAAAGTTCTCCTTTAATTACATGTTAAAGCTCTCCTATAGCAATTGCCATCTGTTTAAGTTATTTGTATTTTCAGAAGTGATTTCTATTTTGATTATTTAAATATTTAACAGTAACTTATTTTGCTTAAGAAGAAGAAAAATAGTGGTACCAGGGAATTTTAATCTATTTTATATGCAAGTATAGAGTTGGAAATGGTTATTGGGATTAGTCATGATTTCAGTTTTATTTTAATCCATTTACCCACATTTTAGATATCACAAATATCTATTACTAAATGTGCATATCATATTATTAATATACAGATTGAGTTACACACAAAGCCCTTTTTACTTACCAGAAATTTTTGTTCATTTCTGGTTTTGTAGCCGAACTATGATTGTGAACTAGAGATCTACCACTTATTTGCACAATTGTCACACAATGGCTTACATGCAGAATAAAACACTTATTGATAAAAAAACATTAAATGTTCAGATATCCTTCTCAATGGGATTTGTGTTATTGTTGCTGGTTTTGCTGCTTTCTTGTTCAGTGACTTTCCTGGACTTGTACAGAGTATGCATTCTTTGTCATTTTTAGCTACTTAAGTCACTGCTCAGCTAGCTTGATAGTTACTAATGATTGGATGAAATGCATTTAAGAAATAAGTATCTCTCTGTGTACTGGGGAATGCCTTCAATATTCCAGGAGACTACTCACACCTCTGACTCAGCCTTCGCTTCCTGTAATATGCAGTCATTCATTGCCTGTGAGTGGACTTGGCAGTTTGCATAAACTATCTGCTTCAGTTGAAGATGGGGAGAAGCTGGAACCACCACCATCCCCTGTCCCTCCCAGAGCAGGTGAGGGTGGACAGGTGATTCTGAATGTTGGATTCATTTTGCAACTTGTTATAAATGTCACAGCCAGCCTTAGTACTAGGACAATTCTGCTTATATGGCTCATTCAGCTGCAACTCACAGCTCTCGGGTTCCCTAATTTCCCTATTAGAACATAAAACAGTAAAGGGCACGGCTTCATCAGTCTTCTGACTAATGGAATGGGGTGACCGGACATCAGAAAGACTCCAGGGTCTACGTCTATGTAGTCTTCCTCGTCCCAAATGGAACCAACCTTTTCTTTCTGGGAATCCTTCCTCAGTGGGCATGATGTAGGGGCAAATAAAGATGAACCCATCAGAGAATTTGGAGAGTGGAATCAGATGAGACCTCTCTGCATGGTCGGATTTTCTTCTGCACTTGTGAGGGATTATCTAAATTGGGAGCTAACCTCCAGGTCTTCATACCACTGTCTACTTCTCTTCTGCTTTTATATATTCTCTTTGGAACAATGGCCTTGACTGGCATTGTAAGAACTTCTGGGATTTGACTTAGGGTTATGTCATGAGGCACTGAGCTTGGAGTCAGATGCCTGGGGTTCACACCCCAGCTCTGCCTCTCTGTTAGTCTGAAGCAGTAGAAAAGAGCATCAGTTTAGGGGTCAGCTGCAGAACCCCGAAATGAGTTACCTCACCTGCCCAAGCATGCATTTGATTATCTCTAGAATAGAAATCATTCTGTTGACCTTGTAGGTTTGTATGAGTGCTCACTGCTTTTTAAGGCACTTCATACAGGGACCTGGCATATAGGGAGCATTTAATACATGGCAGCCTTTTACAGTTAATATCATAATCCTTCCTTCCATCATTAATCACTTATTGAGAACAGGGGGCTGTGACGTTTCTGCTGGCCCTGGAAGGCTAAGCAGGCCTTGGCTTGATCAGCAAAGGACAGCAGCATTTTCCCTTGGGGGAGAGAGCACGGACACAGGTAGGGGGCGGGCCTCAGGGCCTGGGGACAGAGGAAGGTGCACTATTGGTTTGAGGTTTTCTATCTGAATTTCTGGTTTTTCAGAACTACCCTCATATCTTTCTTCCCCAGCCAGTTAGAACCTGTTGGTAGAGGCCGCTCACTAATGCCATCTCCTTCAGGAAGCCCAGCATCATGTGACCTCAGCTGGGTCCCTCCGGTTCATGTCCTTGTAGCACTTGGCAGCTGTCTCAGTAGAGTTTTGGGCTATTTTGTAGATGAGAAGCAGCCGAGGGCATCTTGGTCTGCATCACAGCCCCTTGCACTGTCGTGCACTAACTAGTCCTCGCACACTAAGCACTCGGTGTGAGCTGTGTTAATTTAGTGTAGGCTGGCATTTCACTGTGACACATTTTGAAATAGTTGTCTTTTTTGTTTTTGGATAGTTAAAATTTCTGTTTCAGAGAAACAGAAGACACAGTCGGGAATGATGTCTTGGCTTTCGTATTCCAGCAGTTTTCCCAAAAGTTTAGCCTGAAGTTTCAATGGATTCAGGAGTTTACTGTCATACTGAATATACAACCCATGAGTATTTTTTCTTAAAGAATGTATATTTGCATTCTTCCCTTTAATTAATGTCGAAATTGAATTAGGGGGGAAAAAAGGTAAAATTGTGACTTAATTTAAAATAGTTTTTATTTGATCAGCTCTGTCATAGGGAAGTGCCTTTTTATTTTTTGTAAGCAATTAGTAAACACAATAACTAGCCTCTGCTTACAGAGGCTCTTCTGTGGGGGAAAATGGCTAAACCCCTGCTTTGTTTTCTGCTGCAGGCGGTGGACACAGCTGAGGAGCCTGGTGTGCACAGCAGGGGGGAGGCCAGGCTGGCAGCCGCCCGGGAGATGCAGGTCTGCACCCGGGGCCGCTGGACGCAGGTGCACCTGTGGGTTTGCACCACGCTGCCCTGTGGCCACGGAGAACATGACAACAGCCCCGAACGGCCATGGGCGACTCGCCGCAATCCCTGTTCAGTCTCGGACCCCAAAATGGGGACCTACGCAGCGTGCCAGAATGGGGGGTGCAGCGGCAGCCACGGCCCCGAGGCGGAGGCGCCGGACGCCAGGCTCAGCCCCGCCAAACTCCTGCGCCTCTTCTCAGCGAGCAGGAAGCGGACGGGCGCCTCCCCGAGAGGCCGCGTTCCGGGGGCCTGGTGGGTCGGCCCTCCGCGCAGAACGCCCTCGCCTCCTTTGGGAAAACGGGATCTGTTAAAAAGCTGCAGTCTTCAGACCCGCCGAGCAGGTGCGAGGCGCGCGGGCCGGGGCCGGCGCCGGGGCGGGGGCCGCGTCCGCCCGCTCGGACCCCGAGGACGCGGACGACGCCTTCCGGAGGCGCGCGCCCCGCTCCCGCCGCCTCCGCCGCCCTCCGGCCCGGGCCGCCTCCGCCTGCAGGGCCGCGGCCGGGAGCTGTGCCCGGGCCGCCGGGGCCCCCGGGGCGTGGGCTCCCGGCGACGGAGCCCGAGGGCAGCGGCAGCATCCCGGGGCGGGGGGCGCGCGGGCAAGGCCGGCGCACCACAGGACGCCCAGCATCCCGGCGGCGGGCGCGGAGAGGCTCGGCGGGCAGAGGGCTCCGGGGGGGAGAGCGCGCCCGTGGCGGGCATCCCCGGGCTCCGAGCTGGAGCGCGCGCGGGGCAGGGCAGGGGCGCGGGGTCCCCGGGCCTCGGGGCCGCCCTGCTGCAGGCGTCCCGGGCGGCCGCGGACGCAGCCCTCGTGCCCCGGGAGGGGGCAGCTCCGGGGCGGCGGCGAGCACCCGTCTGTGCGCCGGCAACGCCGCGTCGGGCCCGATTGCCTGCGAAGTGTCGAGCAAAGCCTGGGGTGCAGCACCCCCTGGGAGCCAGTTCCCATTCGACCTGGAGCAACCCTCCACTCCCCCGAGGCCCACCACATCCAAGCCTTCGGCCCCCGGAGCCCAGGCGCTGGGAGCCGTCTCAGCGCGCAGTCCCCGAGTTCAGGGGACAGTGGGGAAAGGGCAGAGGGTCCTGCTCGGAGGGGGCAGGGGCCTGTGTCCCTACAGGATTCAGAGCAAGCCACCTGCGGCGAAGGCGGTGAGGACAGCGGAGCCAGCAGCCGCCCTCAGCAGAGCCTCTGCGGGGCTTCGGGTCCAGAGGAAAAGAGGCGGGAGGTAAGTGCAGAGCGGGGGCCTCCTGCGGGTGACGCGCCGCCTGACGGTGCTTGTCTCCCCTGGACATGGCCGGGCGCACAGGTGTTTCCCTTGGTATCTGCTCCTTCTCCATCTGCTGCCACAGAACCCGGCGCCGCGTGCGGATTGTGCTGCCTTGTTGCTCTCCTCAAGTTTCTGCTTACCAAGGGCGGAAGTCATCTTTATCTCTTTTGAAGTGAATTGCTAATGAATGTGTGAAATTCCTTAAGGTGGCACTTAGCACACCACTTATTCAAAGCTATTTATTGAGCTCCAACCATATGCTAGATTCGGGGCAAAGGTGGGGGGGAGTCGATAAAAACCCCTCTTCCACCCCATGCAGCTAATAGAGGTTCTCAGAAAATTTGATTTCCGAAATGTTATTTATCACCCATAGCTCTTTCTATATTTTAAACTGTTCTTAAACTGTTTTCTAAACCTTTCCAACAGAATACATATAAATGAGATTCTTTGTGTTGAGACCATTACATGTTCTGATCTGATCTATTTCTCAGGATGAGTTAGAAACGTACAGTTTGATACCTGTCAACCCCTGAGTGATGGCAGTTCAAAGAAGTGTTTATGATGGTTAGTGGGCTGCTTTTTAGAGTAGAACACAACCATTTCATGCATTGAATTAGCTAATAACTGTCAAGGCTACAGGAGCAATGTTCTCATATCCTTCCAAGCACCCAGACTACTTCACCTCACTGTATAATTTTCACTTTATAAAGACATTCAGTAATATTACCGTACATGGCTGAAAGAGGAGGGAATGCACACATGTGTATATATTGCAAATTATTCTTCACATACATTCCTACACTATTTTGCAGGTATAAATTGATTCTTGCCATACAAAATAATTCCCTAGCCAGCTGTTCCTTCCCATTGATCCTGGAGAGGACCTCAGTTTTGACTCAACGCCTGCAGATGAGTGATTACACAGCAGCCCTTGGGAACTCAGAAAGCACAACACCCTCTGGACCGTCCATTTTTTATCTTCACTTTTCAGAGAGACCTAGAAAGTTAATCCTATTGCAGATCACTTTCAGATCTAAATCAACCTGAAGGAATCCTGGTCAGTCAGGGAAGTGAGGCTGCCTTGATTTTATGGACCTAGGACGGTATGGACACCTCGGGGCCAGTAGTCTTCCAGAGGTTTTGTGTGTTGATGACCATTCACTCATTGGCTCTTTCCAAGAAGCCTGTAGAACAGTTGTAAGGGTGCAGGACTAGTTGCCCGCCTTGGGAAGGAGCTTCAGTTTCTGCTAGCTCTGCTTTATGTAATTGGCCAATGCCTGAACCAGTCTGGGCTCCACTCCTCCCAGATGGTGAGAGGAAGCCACAATTCCTCCCACCAAGCCCCACGATCTGCCCCATTGATGGTTTGAAACCCCCATTCCAAACCCCAAAAAAGGATTTGCATAGGTCTAGCAGGTTCTTTATGTTAAAGGTGGGGATATTTATTTTCTGCTTAACAAAAAAAAATCCTTAAAATATTTTATTTCTGAAGGCATATTAGGTGAACATGAGTTTCTCACTTAATTGCTTCTGAGAGTGGCTTTTGATGATTATAAAGTTTTACATGTATATTTGCACTCTATATAATTTTAATATAAGTAATACATAATATAAAATATGTAATCAATTTAATATGATACAAATTTTAATGTGTAATTTAATTTCTGCTCACCAGAGGGCACCAATAGTAGAGAGCGGGTCACCAGTTATTAAAAGTACACATATATTGACAGATAATCCTACAAATTTGCCTCAAGATGTTTATCACATTTTTCTTTTTCTGGATAATCAGTTTCTTTTTAAAATTTTTTCTTATTAAGGAACCATATAATGCATAAACCTTAATGTGTAGCTTGATGCATTATGACGTGTATACACTCATATAACCACCATCCAAATCAAGATATCAAACATTCTCATTAATTTGTCCCCCTTCAGTTATTTATCACATTCTTATCTCCTGTTTATCACATTTTTAAGTTGCATTTCTTTCCTCAGAGTTCTTGTGTAGCGAATGAAGCTTCTTGTACTTTTAAATGTCAAAAAGAAAAAAATATAATGGTTTTGCCCAATTTGCATTTTATATATCGTTGATCTTCATTGTTACTTGCCGAGAAGTGCTCGCAAAATCTTTTATTTCGACATTTAGAAACAGAATACAAACAAGATGAAGCAAACAAACAAAAAACACCTTGCAAAATGCAGGAACTCCACCCTTCCTGGATTAAAAGCAGTTTGTCTTAAATAGCATTACAGAAAGTTAAATTTTAGTCTTTATTATGTTATAATGTACAGCATATTATTCTTTTTTGAATTCATTGATAGTATGGCTGTACTTAATATTTAAAGCTAGTTTGAGCTGTGGTTATTATTGAAGTGTGTATATTATATTAAGTAAGTAATGCAATTTTCAATAAGGGAAAATGATTTTCTTTCTTAGAGTCGTTTATTTGGAACATACGACTCTAAAAGTGACAAAGTAATCTTTGAAAACTAGGCAGTTTAACAAGATTTTGTAAACTGTAAGAGCTGGGAAAACTTAAACTACCTTCATCTTAGTGCAATGTGGAAAAACCACCTTGTTAAAGTATACGCCTGCCACCTAGTGGTCAACTTTGTCGTAAGGACAATGACCAGTTGAATGAGTCCTAAATATGTATTTATACTTGTGGGTAGTACTGCCTGTTCCCCTGTAAAGGTGCAGAATTTAGAGTGTTATTGCTGGTCTTCCTGCTAAGTCTGTGGCTCATCCGAAATCTCCTGTGGTTGAATCAGGTCACTAGGAAAGGTACCTGTCCCCAGTCGTGCAGTATAGATTCAGTAGTTTGTGATAATGTTGAAATATGGCGTAGATGAATGGTGAGCATCCATTGTAACTGCTTTACAGGGAACTTCAGTTTTTGGTCAATGTTTCTAGCTTGGTTGGGATCCTGTCTCAGCCATTCAAAAGATACCTCCCACTGGGCAAACTGCTGCACTTCTCTCTGCCTCAGCGGGCGTCTCAAGCACAGGGTGTGAAATAGCTTAATCCGCCTTGGCGGTTTGTAAGAACCAAGGAAATTATGCACATTAAATGCTTAGCTCAGTGTTTGACACTGGCTGTCACTGTGTGATTACTACCCACATAGGTGATTTTTCCACCCTTTGACCTGACTTCTTAAAAGACGGAGGCCAGTTAAGATCAGTATTTTTCCAAAACTGTTTTTTGACGTGCCACAGCGTTAGAGTCTTAATGGAAGATGACAAGGTTATTCAAACAATTTGACTTCACGTTAATTATTTTTAAAAACCCCATAAAAGTTAGGTTTGAGCATAACCTACCATTTTTATATTCATTAAAAAATGTGCCACATCAAATTTATTGGGCACTGCCAGGTATGAGACACTCAGGTTAGGTGCAGTTCTGTAAGGAACAGTGATGATGTCAAGGAGATTATGAATGAGCTAAGTATCTAAATCATAGGACAACTATGCAGAGCAGATTAAAGCCCACAAAAGAGGTAAAAGCACAATGCTGTGGGATTCAGAAGAGCTGTAGTTCTTGCCATGTGCCCAATCAAGGACAGTTTCCTAAGAGTGACTGAATCCGTTTGAAGAAGGTGAGATTTTGTTCAGGTAGTTTTGAAGAGGCGGGTGGAGCATTTCGGGGGTGAGGCGTACAGAACGTTATGTGCGTTGAGAGAACAGGAAGTGGCGTCATTTGGTTTGCTGTAGGGGAATGACCTAAGTTACGGTGAAATCACCAAGGCCAGGTCATGGTCACGTCAGTTCCGGAGTAAAGAACCTATGCACTGCTTGGAAAGCACCGAGGGGGCAGGGATATTTTTGAGCAGAGAAGAGCCAGGCTCAGAGCTGTGTTTTGGAGAAGTGAGTCCACCACTGGTTAGGAAGAGGATTGGAAAGAAAAGTGACCAGAGGGAAAGCTGTCATTAGGCTTTGAAACGTGGGGTGGGAGTCGAATATGCAAGAACAGGAGGGGAGGCAACCGCGCACAGTGAATACTGACACACCTGTTCTTGGTTTACTACCTACCTGCTATATATGGTTAGAGGGAAAAGAGTTTTTAAAAAATCTGTTATTTTCGAGGGTTCACACTCTAATTGGTTGGTTGGAACGTGTACAGATAATTATGTTGTAGTGTGGTACCTTTCTAATGAGGAATGTATGAAGTGTCACAGACGGGGACACCAGAGACGTAGTTATCACTCGGGGTGAAGAGCGGCCTAACCGGGGAAGGACAACCGGGGCGGAGCTGGAAGAGACCGCGGGGGGAATGCAGGGCGCAGGAGGAGCCGCTGGGCTCCAGGCCACGGAGAGCGTGGGAGCAGGGCAGGCGCTGCTGACCTAGGGGACGGCCCCCCAGAGTGGCTTCTAGGCTTCATGTACCTCCCCTGGGATCGGGGATAGCAAGAGGCCCTACCCACCGCATCTCGTTGTGAAGACTGGATGAGGTGGTGCACGCAGCGTACTCAGTACTCAGCCGGGAGCCTTGCCTGTTGGGGTCCAGCGCAGCCTGGTCTGTGGTGCTGGGTACCGTGTGTTGCTCATGTGCACAGGGCGGTTGGGTGGGGAAGTGGGAGACAGGATTGGAGACACAGGGAAGGGCCGTGCTTGGACTTTAGCCTGCAGGCAGTAGGAAGCCAGAGAGGTGTGTAACCCGGGACCAGAGAGGATTGGGGTGGGGGTGGCCCTGGGGAAACACAGTGCTCCTCAGTCCAGAGACGATGAGATCTGTGCTGAGGCCATGGAAATGGGGAGGAAAGGATGGATTCCAAAACGATATTGCACCTTTTATTTTCTTCTTTTTATTGAGGTATTATTGATATACACTCTTAAGAAGGTTTCAAATGAAAAGACAATGTGGTTACTACATTTACCCATGTAATCTATTCCCCCCCCCACCCCCGCATACCCCAATGCAGTCCCTGTCCATCAGTGTAGTGATATGCCACAGAGTC